AGGAATTACTTTAAAAATAATAAAATAAATGGACTACAACTAGACTATAAAGAAGAAAAGAGAAAATATTCAAATAAACACAATTAGAAATGACAAAGGGGATATTTACAGATAAATTCTACTAGATGTACAAATAAGACCTGGCACCATTCCTGCTGAAACCATCCCAAAAAGTTGAAGAGGAGGAACTCCTCCCTAACTCATTCTACAAAGCCAGTATCATCTTGATACCAAAACCTGACAGAGACACAAACCCTAAAAAGAAAATTTCAGGCTAATATCCTTGATGAAAATCGATGCAAAAATTCTCAACAAAATACTGACAAACCTAATCCAGCAGCACATCAAAAAGTCTATCCAGCAGAATCAAGTTGGTTTTATCCCTGGGGTGCAAGATTGGTTGAACATACACAAATCAATAAATTCGATTCATCACATAAACAGAACTGAAGATAAAAATCACATGATTGTCTCAATAGATGCAGAAAAGGTTTTCCATACAATTCAACACCCCTTCATGTTAAAAATGCTCAGCAAACTAGATATTAAACAAATGAATATTCCTCAAAATAATAAGAGCCATCTGTAACAAATCCACAGCCAATATGATACTGAATAGGGAAAAGCTGGAAGCATTCCCCTTGAAAACCAGCAGAATACAAGGATGCCCTCTCCCACTACTTCTTTTTTTTTTTTTTTTATTATTATACTTTAAGTTGTAGGGTACATGTGCATAACGTGCAGGTTTGTTACATATGTATACTTGTGCCATGTTGCTGTGCTGCACCCATCAACTCGTCATTTACATCAGGTATAACTCCCAATGCAGTCCCTCCCCCCTCCCCCCTCCCCATGATAGGCCCCGGTGTGTGATGTTCCCCTTCCTGAGTCCAAGTGATCTCATTGTTCAGTTCCCACCTATGAGTGAGAACATGCGGTGTTTGGTTTTCTGTTCTTGTGATAGTTTGCTAAGAATGATGGTTTCCAGCTGCATCCATGTCCCTACAAAGGACACAAACTCATCCTTTTTTATGGCTGCATAGTATTCCATGGTGTATATGTGCCACATTTTCTTAATCCAATCTGTCACTGATGGACATTTGGGTTGATTCCAAGTCTTTGCTATTGTGAATAGTGCTGCAATAAACATACGTGTGCATGTGTCTTTATAGCAGCATAATTTATAATCCTTTGGGTATATACCCAGTAATGGGATGGCTGGGTCATATGGTACATCTACTTCTAGATCCTTGAGGAATCGCCATACTGTTTTCCATAAATCCCACCAACAGTGTAAAAGTGTTCCTATTTCTCCACATCCTCTCCAGCACCTGTTGTTTCCTGACTTTTGAATGATCGCCATTCTAACTGGTGTGAGATGAAAAAATGCTCATCATCACTGGCCATCAGAGAAATGCAAATCAAAACCACAATGAGATATCATCTCCCACTACTTCTATTCAACGTACTATGGAAAGTCCTGGCCAGAGCAATCAAGAAAGATAAGGGTAGAAAGGAGATCAAAATAAGAAGACAGGAAGTCAGACTATCCTTGTTTGCACATGACGTGATTCTATATCTAAAACACCCTGTTGTCTAGGAACAAAAGTTCTTTCATCAGATAAACAACTTCAGCAATGTTTCGGGATTCAAAAACAGCATACAAAAATAAATCACTAGCACTCCTATATACCTACAACAGCCAAGCCAACAGCCAAATCAGGAACACAATCCCATTCACAACAGTGGCAAAAAGAATAAAATACCTAGGAATACAACTAACCAGGGAGGTGAAAGATCTCCACACAGAGAACTATAAAGCATTGCTGAACAACATCAGAGATGACACTGATAAATGGAAAAACATTCCAAGCTCATTAATAGGAAGAATCAATACAGTTAAAATGGCCAAGCTCCTCAAAGCAGTTTACAATTTCAGTGTGATTCCTCTCCTATCAAACTACCAATGACATTCTTCACAAAACCAGAAAAAACAATTATAAAATTCTATGGAATCAAAAATGAGCCTGAATAGCCAAGGTAATCCTAAGCAAAAACAAAAAAGCTGGAGTCATCATGCTACCTGACTGCAAACTATACTACAAGGCTGCAGTAACCAAAACAGCATGGTACTACTACAAAACAGACACAGAGATTAATGGAACAGAAGAGGGAACCCAGAAATAAAGCAACACACCTGTAACCATCTGATCACCAAAAAATGTGACAAAAACAAGCAATGTGGAAAGAACTCCCTATTCAATAAATGGTGCTGGGACAACTGGCTAGCCCTATGCGTAAGATTGAAACTGGATGCCTTCCTTATACCATATACAAAAATCAACTCAAGATGAATTAAAGACTTAAATGCAGAGCCCCAGATTATAAATACCCTGGAAGACAATCTAGGCAATACCATTCTGGACATAGGGACAGGCAAATATTTTATGACAAAGACACCAAAAGCAATTGCAATGAAATAAAAATTGACAAATAGGATCTAATTAAACCAAAGAGCTTCTGCACAGCAAAAGAAACTATCAACAGAGTAAACAGACAACCTACAGAACGGGAGAAAAGTTTTGTAAAGCGTGCATCTGATAAAGGTCTAATATTCAGCATCTATGAAGAATTTAAACAAATTTACAAGAAAAAAAACCAACCCCATTAAAAAGTGGGCAAAGGACAGAAATAGACACATTTCAAAGGAAACATACACATAGCCAACAAGTATATGAAAAAAAACTCAATATCACTGATCATTAGAGAAATGTAAATCAAAACCACAATAAGATACTATCTCACACCAGTCATAATGGCCATTACTACAAAGTCAAAAAATAAAAAGTGCTAGAGACTTGCAGAGAAAAACGAATGCTTATACGTTGTTGGGGGAAGTGTAAATTAGATCAACCATTGTGGAAAACAGTGTGGCAACTACTGAAACAACTGAAAACAGAACTACCATTCCAACCAGCAATCCCATTACTTGGTATACACCCAAAGGAATATAAACCATTCTGTGTCATAAAGACACACGCACATGTTATGTTCATTGCAGCACTATTCATAATAGCAAAGACATGGAATCAAACTAAGTGCCCATCAATGATAGACAAGATAAAAAAAAATGTGATACATATATACCATGAAATACTATGCAACCATAAAAAAAGAAATCAAGTCATTTGCAGGAGCATGAGTAGAGCTGGAGGCCATTATCCTCAAAAAACTAATGCAGGAACAGAAAATCAAATACCACATGTTCTCACTTATAACTGAAAGCTAAATGCTGAGAAAACATGGACACATAGAGGGGAACAACAGACAATAGGGCCTATTGGAGGGTAAAGGTTAGGAGGACAGAGAGGATCAGGGGAAATAACTAATGCGTACTATGATTAATAACTGGGTGATGAAATAAGCTGTACAATAAACCCCAGTGATATGCATTTACCTATATAACAAACCTGCACATGTGCTCCTGATCTTAAAATAAAAAAATTTTTTAAAATAGCAGATACTGGACAGGACGCAAAGAAAAAAGAAGTCTATATACTTCTGGCGGGAATGTAAATTAGTACAGCCGCAGTGGAAAGCAATACAAAGATTTCTCCAGAAACTAAAAACAGAACCACTGTTCAATCCTGAAATTCAACTACTGTGTATCTATCCAAAGAAAAAGAAATCAGTCCATCAAACGGATGCCTGAACTCCCATGGTTATTGCAGAACTATTCACAATAGCAAAAATATGTAACCTAAGTGTCCATTAACAAATAAATAGAAAAAGAAAATATTGTATAGACACACAATGAAATCCTATTTTGTTGTAAAAAAGAATAAAATCATGTCATGCACAGCAACATGGATGGAACTGGAGGTCATTATGTTAAGTAAAACAAGTCAAACAGGGAAAAACAAATACTGCAAGTACTCACTCATCTGTGGGAGCTACAAAAGTTGATCTATAAAGGTAGACAGCAGAATGATAGATACCAGAAGCAGGGAAGGATGTTCAGGGGGTGGAGAATGAAGAGATGCTGGTTAAATAGTACAAACATAGATATACGTAAAAGAGGTAAGTTTAAATATTTGATAGCAGAGTATGGTGACTAATTTACAACAATGTATTGTATTTTTCAAAATAGCAAAGAGAGAAATGATAAATGCTCAAGGTCATGGATTCCCTAAATTTCCTGATATCCTGACGTGATCATTACACATTTGATCCATGTAACAAAATATCACATGTATTCCATAAATGTGTACAAGTATTATGAATCAATTAAAAGTAACAGTAGGGAGTCTTCCTATTTCCTATATCCGTTATATCCAAGCCACTCTCTTTCTGGAACAAATATCTTGGTGGTTGTAGTCAGGGGGGTTGATGATGATGATGGTGATGATGCTTGTGGTGGAAATGATGAGATATTGCTGCTAATAAGCCTCAATTAAATGACTGCTATTATGTGTCAGGCATTGTGCCAACCAAATTTCAGATAGAAATTAGATTTTATGACTTAGACTACTTTATGATGTAAATATTGTTTGGTTCACTTTGCAGTAAAAAGATAGACATTTGGAGAAGTAGAATAATATGTTCTGCAAATCAATCAAACACTAAGAAAAATAAAAGGGGTATAAAATGATACAGAAATAATACTTGCTATGACCCAAAATTCATATAGCAACAATTGTAAGATCTTCCCTGAGGATCACAGAAAGGTAGGAATAAATACAAATGATCATATCACATTGCTAATAAAGCAGATTTGAAAAAGAAACAAAAGATCCATTCACAAATATTATGCAAAGATACTTTATTCAGGGAGTGAAAGGAAAGTGACAACTGCACAGGTGGTAGAAGCTCATGCCCAGGGGACAGACAGACACAGGAAACGTCAACAGAATTCTCTGATGGTTCCCAGGGACAGAGCTGCAGCTCTTTCTTCTGAAGCTCTGGGAACCGACAAAGCCGAGGACTTCCTTTGTTCAGTCTCCACCTGGACAGTGGCAGTATGGCAGCCTCAGAAAGGAAACATTTTGCAATCAGGGAACATTATGGACAGATCACAAGCTAAGGGGAAGGAAGCTCCCTGTGTATCCATGGCAGGTTTAATGAGAAGACTAAGGTGAAGCTATGGAATGAGGTGAGCCAATTATTCTTATCCTTTCATGCTCCTGATGGATCCTGAAGCTGTTACTTGTTCTTGGGTGGACACTTTGGCTGGCAGGGTGGGGAAGGTGTCACCGGAGGATATTTCTGCTGGCACTGCTGAGGTGGGCAGGGCTGTGGACACTTTGGTGGTAAGCAGGGCTCAGGGCACTTCGGGGGTGGACACGGCTCTGGCCACTTTGGCGTGGGGCACACAGGAGGTGGCTGGCAAGGCTGTTTGCACTGCTGCTGTTGGTAAGACATCCTGCTGGAGTCTCAGAATCTGAAAGAAATGATACGACAGTGTTCACGGGAAAGGAATCCTCCAGAGAGAGAAGCCAAAGCTTATGTACTACCATGGCATATCATTAAAGCTTATGTAATACCATGACATATTATTTCTCCAATCTCCAAAAATTTATTTAAACTCTTAGCTCCCTTTTCATGACTTCTTGTCTTTTCCTTTCCACTTTAGTAAGTTGCTTCTAGGAAATCCTGCCTTTCCTCATACAATTTTACCAAAGAAAACTTCTCTGTAATAAAGAAGCAAGCATGTTAATCCAGGAAATTAACATCTTCAGGAAAGGCAGTCACAAGTTCAGACCCCCTGGGCAATCTCACAAGCTTTTCCTATCATCATTATCTGTTGTAAAGCACCAGTGGGTTGACTTGAGCATAGAGCAAAGGGTTGTTCAGGAAGAAGTGCAGGCTCTCACACCTGCTAAGACACAAACCTTTGAAAAGGACACCAGAAAAATACAAAAAAGAGAAAAAGATTCATCCTTTTCTTCCAACCAAAGCTTTCCTATTAACTTCTCTGTCCATATGAATATGTAACTGTACATTTTTAAAAAGCAATATAAAACACTCTATCACATAGTCTAATCCTATAGTTCCATCCACTAAGTACCACCAACTCCATGATCATAGGTTTGGATCCACCAGACTTGCTGGATTTGATTAAATTCAACATTTCAGGTCAAAAAGAAGAGAACTCAAGGAAGCAGACTCACCAGGTTTTCCAAAGCAGATCGGTGCTCAAGTACCAGGAGTTTAGAAGTTGTGCAGCAGAGAACCTCTTTATAGGGACTGCTAACCCACCCAGCAGGAAATGGAACTGCCTAAACTGGGCTGGTCCAGCAATGTCCCAATTAAAATGCAAATTTATCCATAACTGGCATGACAGGGATTCTCAGACTGGGAAATACCGTGTTCTGGGATCTGTCCACTGGATTAAGTGCTCCTGACTCACGGAGGCCCTGCCTTAGGTCTCAGTTTCAGTGACTTATGGCAAAGAGGGACTTGGGAGATTCTCTAACTGGTGGTCAAGGGCTCTCTTTCTTGATTGGGGGCAGTGAATGCTTCCTATCTAACACCTTCCCTAAATCATAAAACTTCCTGCCCTGATCCACTTTCGCTGAATGCCACATTGTTGAACATTAACCCATCTCCACCTGGGCTTTCCTCGTACAATTTGCCAATGTGCCAGAAGGACAGACAGACCTAACAAAGGCCTGAGTTCTGGCCCCAGATTTTTTTGCTAAGTTATATGACCACAGCCAGGTCAACCCTCCTCCCTGGAATTGTAAACAGAGGAGCATCATACCTACCTCTGGTTTTGAAGGCACTGACCACATCTTGCCTTCTGCTGACTCTGTTCAAGCCTGAAATTTTCTGCTCCACCTCTATCTTTCTCTCACAGAACCCCAGATTTTACCTATATTCCTTTTCTCTTTGAAGTTGTTTCCTACATCCCTCATAGAGGCACTTTTTTTCCGGGAGAGATACCAGAGTGAGATCCAGTCTCCCCAGTACGATTGCTACTGCTACCATCAAGGATGTATATTACAGCCTTTTAATTTATGAATAACATGCTTCCTAGTCACCACATTAAGGAAATTGAGAGAAGGGAACCAAAGTTACAAGCATTCATTTTAAATCTATGTATTGAACCATGCCTATATCTTTCCCTGTGAACATCCTATAGAGAACAAAATGCATAGACTCACAGTATCTTATGTAAATAATTAGAAGAAGGTTTGCAGAGTAGAGAAGGTCAGAGGACTTAAAGTCTGAAATCTAGGGGAAAATATAAACTAAGTGTGATCCTATATGTTTGCTTTCTCTACTTTTTCAAAGCAGGTTTCAGTCTTTGAAAGACAGTATTATTTTATTTGTTTATATGTTATTCCTTTGTCTTTTCCCAAAGCCCTCTAGCCCCACAACCTGCTAGATTATCAACTCACACCCCAATGTATACCTCTTATCTGTCCATTTTAGTACACATTGTTCACTCAATACATATGTTGCCAATGTGAATGTCTTTCACATCTTTCTAAGACTCTTCCTGCAATCAATGGGGCTTACTAAACATTGTATATTAAACATTTAAAATAATGCTGCTGGAGCTTCCTTACCTGGGCCAATAATCTGGAAGCTTTCCAAGAATGTGGTTTTATAATTGGAGGAGAAGAAGGAAGAGGAAGATAAGAAAAAAGAGGAAAAGGAGTGACTCAAATTCTCTGGAGCACTCACCAGCTATCCTCCAGATAGAGCAAGAGCACTGAATCAACCCAGCATCACATCCCTCAGTTAAGCACGTTAGCTTCCCAGATCTGCAACTGCTCCAGTCTCTAAGGAAGGGCTTTTGGTCAAGATCTCCACTGGCCAGATGCTACAGAAATAGAACTATCATGTCAGCACCTTTGCACCAGGTGTTTACAAATAGTGTTCTCACCAAATGCTTCCTATAGACAATTACACATGCCAAGCACAGTGGGTGAAGTAAACAGACTTCTCTCAATAGGTCCCCTACTCCTCCCCAGAGCCTCACATCACATCTACAACACAAATCCCTAGAGAAATGTCTGATTTCTAACATGCAAAATTGGAAAATTGGCTGCCAAATGAGATCACTGTGTGAGATCATACAGTTTGGATCATGCCCTGAGACTCCCCTTCTCAGAACACCCCTCTCAAACAGGCTGCTTATGGCAGCAGTGCAGGCACCAGAGTGCCAGCAGCCCTAGTGCTTCCAGCATCTCAGACAGGATTAAGACAGGGTTGCTTTACAAGTTGAGATGGTGAACTGGAAACTCAGAGTTCCTCACAGACCAGCTACATGAAGAGTGGCCACAACATAAAGGGGGCAGCTAACAGTCACAGCTTCCCCAGGTTAGGACATCCAGGCCCTGAGACATAGAGCAAGGCATACTTCACACACACACACACACACACACACACACACACACACACACACACACACCCCATGGGTCTTTATCATCTATCTGCATGTCTAAAGAGCTTAGCTTTATCTTCTTTAAGAGTCTAATAATCTTAGGTTCATTCCTATTACTTCTACTCCATAATTTTCTAGGGGATCATTAAGTATGAATTATTAGTATTTTAAAATGTCAGGAAAGCAAAAGCACTTATTTTTTTTTTTTGCAATTCACAAAGTATATTTGAATATTATTAATTATATATTCACTCGTGTGTGTGTGTTTATAATGCTATGAAATTTACATCACATACGTAGCTTTGGCTACCTACTACTACAATAAAGATACATAACTGTTCCATTACCACAAGACTTCTCTGCTCCCCACTTATAGCCATAACCACCCCTCCTTTCCCAAATACTTACCTCTAGTAAATATTTCTCTTTTTTTCCATCTCTATGATTTCATTATTTTAAGAATACTTGAGTAAATTTATACATCATGCGACATTTTAAGAATTTCTCTTTGTTTCATATAACATAATTTCATGGAGATCCATTCACTTCATGCACTTTTAATTTTGTGTAATACTTGATTCAACATTTTATCTCACATTTCAATACTATACATCCCACTAAACAAAATAGTGCTGGCAAATAAAGATTTAAAATTAAATATGAAAAAAATAAAGAAACAAAATTATGGTAAAATATTCTTGATGTGCTCAGAGAAAGGGTAACTGCAGTTCCCCATGCATATCTGTCTTCTGCTTTTATTTCTGAATGAAAGGCTAAGCATCCATTGTCCTTTCATGCTGAATCTGATAAATTACAGAACATACATATGGTAGAATACTGAATATCCTTAAGGTGAATGTTTTGGAAGATTGTTTAATATAATTTAAAACATTTAGAATTATACTAAAAACATGTGAAGCATGATATCATTCTCATCAACATTTATTAAAAGATAGGAAACATATGAAACAATATATTAAATGTGATTATTTATGGCTGGTGAAATTACAGATAATGTTTATTTTCTTATTTCACTTTTCAAAGTATTCTTCAAATGTTACCTATTACTGAGTAAGGAATCTTAAAATTCTACTTTGAAAAGCTGACAAGAGACAAGCCTGTCCATTGTTCAGCTAGTCAGATAATTGTCTTTTTTATTTTTTGAGCATTTTCGGGCAGACACTAAAGATGGAGCTGGAAGGAAGTAGCAGTTGTTTTGTAGTTATAGCTCTACATTTGATCATATCCCTTCTAAAATCTCTCTTGAAGAAAACCTCAACAATGATCCTCATCTTCATAGCAACTGACATTCGTACACAGAAGCCACAGACATGCGATAACCATGTGTATCTATAAAATAACTCACCAGGCCAGGAACAGCAGATCATGCCTGAAATCCCAGCACTTTGGGAGACCAACGTGGGTGGATCACAAGGTCAGGAGTTCAAGACCAATCTCCCCAAGATGGTGAATCCCAGTCTCTACTAAAATTACAAAAATTTGCCAGGCGTGATTGCGGAGGCCTGTAATCCCAGCTACTCAGGAGGCTGAGGCAAGGAATTGCTTGAACCCAGAAGGCGGAGGTTGCAGTGAGCTGACGTCACACCTCTGCACTCCAGCTTGGGTGACAGAGCGAAACTCTGTCTCAAAAAATAAATAAATAAATTTCAAAAAATAAAAATAAAAATAAAACGTTCACCAAAATTGGCAGATCATACTAGGGTAAAAAAATCAGGAATGAGTTTGTCTACTATCCAAGAGCCAGCCAAATAGAAATCATAACATTGGCCATAATATGATGAAATTAAAAGAAATGGATGATTAGTAGACAGGTGATAAAGATAATAGAACATAGTGATAATAATAGTACCTACCACTAAATTGTCATGAGAAAAAAATTAAATCAGAGACTGCATTTAAAGTATTTAGCACAGGCTACAGATAGTACTCAAAATAGTAAAGAAATCCATGGCTAATCAAAGAGATAGAGGCAAAATATCAAATTCAAGTTGTTTATGGTTGAGAAAGATATTTGTTTTTCTTTAAGACCTTTTATATCATCCTTATTTTAAGTATGTGCCAGAAGTTTGTAGGACATAGCAAATGTAAATACATGATTTGAATGAAGTGTGCAGAAATAATAAGATAGACTGATCTTGACATTTATTCTTACATGATAAAAATGAGAGTTAACCTAAGCAGAAATTTAGAACAAAGGATAATGTTTCTGTGTTATTTGGACTCTCTACAGCTTTCCTCTGAATTCAGATAATACAAAAAAAAAATCTAAAAACAATAAATAGCAATATGTTGATTTGTTGATTTGCAAAATATTAACATGTATAAATATTTTTATTCTGTGTGAAAAAATATATAATGTTTTATTCTTGTGAAAAAATGTATAATGTTACCTCTAATTTAGTCTACTGTTACTGTGGTTAGCTGTTTAGGACAATTAAAAAATTGCTCATTTAAATATCACACTCCTTCCACTGACAAATTACCTAAATTTTAGGCTAAATCCTTATAAGAAACTGAACAGCTCGTTAGCACTAATCTTTCCAAAGTTTATAAACCTTATAAATTCTACTTTTATTTTCTCTGTATGTTAGATACAAACATTTAAGAGCAAAATTCAAGAGCTATTAGTAATATGCTTAGTGTTAATGAGATTAAGAAGAATATATGGTAAATGATGGAATGAATCAGATACTTCTACTTTTAAGAATCTTTTCAAGATAGTGAATGTGCATAGGCTGTGGTCTCCCTCCAAAAATGTCAAAAAGGAAAACAAAGAAACACAAACAAAATTGTGAAAAAATTTGGAGAGAAAAGACTGTTTGAACTCTTACATAGGAT